CGAGCACTTCCACAGTTGAGCAATTGAGAGCATTCTTAGCCTGTTCAATTTTTGCTTTAGTATAATTCAATTTTCTCTACACCATAGCAACACATTGTCAATATCACGCTGAAGTACAATACAGTCGAGGATGAAAACGATGATTCTGTAGAATTTCAGGACATTGGCAAAAAGCTGCTTGAATTATGAGAGTCGTGGACACTAATCATTTACTAAATCCCAGCACACTGCCCTGTGGTACACCGGAAGTGATTGAAAACGATTCCGAACGTGTAGAGTTTAACGACACGAAAGCATTACGATTCGTCAGGTAAGACCGAATCCTGTAAACCAGCCAATCAAGGAGTCCTATAGCTTGAAGCTTTGAAAAACCTATGTAGATCGAGTTAACCTGATTGCGAAGTTCGACCTCGTGGAACAGTGTGTTGGTATAGCGCATCAGATTCGTGGATGTAGAACGATGTTGAACAAACCCATGTTGATACTCCGATAATAAAGGCTGAACAACACTGTGAAGTGCTCCGTGCTCTAGGGTTTTGAAAGCCATGCTAATGCAGCATAGAAGCGAAATGCCACGATAGTTCTGGATCAACAATAGAAAAGGGCCCATCAGCATTTGTAAACAAACCGTTCCAAAGCCCTTTCCTCACAAAGCGAAGGCCACCCACACAAACCAACACCATCATCGGATAGGGGAAACTTCTACCTACACGATGATGGTGTTGGTTTGTGTGAGCGGCCTTCGATTTGTGAGGAATGGGCTTTGGAACGGTTTGTTTACAAATGCTGATGGGCCCTTTTCTATTGTTGATCCAGAGTTGTCAACGTGGCTACGGCTACCGGATACGATAGCAGCCGGATTTGTGTATTGGTACTCGGACAGCGAATCGGGAAAGCTAGCGAGCGAGCGCAGTACTTCAGGAAGCACGGAGGAATTCTGTCAAATCCGGGGCTTTTTGATGCATTAAGATTGGTCAAAACTGTATGGACATCATCTGACGTGAAGCGCAGTAAGGGGAAATTCAATTCATATTCATGTCGATCGTTGACACTGGAAGTGGGAGGGCGAGCTTGCCTTGCACAATAAACACCTTGAAAAAAACGTAGCGAACCAATTTGCGATCTCTTCCGTAGGCGATTGCACTTTGCTTAATGAATTTCCAGAAATTCTATGGGTTTTGTCTCAGGTTTGACTGTGTTTATTGAACATGTTCTTCGTAGCCGGCGGCCAGTAGTTCGTTGTATTGAGTTTCGTTTGAAGGAAGAGTATTTCGGTTGTCCTCGGATTCAGAGATCAAAAACTGTGTGCGGTCCTTGCGAAGTTACGCAGCTCTGTATACCACCAGGGTTTTCATGCAGAGTAGTCGGAGAAAGGTCGGCGTTGAGGAACACACTCGTGGAAAATTGCGTGCAGTTTTTCGTAGAGCTGGTTTGTAATGGCCTGTGATGTATGTCAACATTAAGCAGTGGAACCACTGGTTCAAGAAGATCAAAAATATCTGCATTGGTGGTGAATGCCAAATCAAGCATTCAAAACCATTTGTGTTTACAAATGGTTTGACCTGAATTAGACCATTAGCAAGCATTTTTTCGGTAAGAGCCACTTCTTGCTCCGTTTATGATTTTGAAGACAGATACCCGTTCATGTCCTCGTCAAAAATCCAGAGTAAATGAGGGAGATTATATTCACCCAGCCCCTGATGAAATCTTCGCTCAAGGACGTCTCTGAAATATTCCGTATAACTACGGCAAGTGACTTGTAGAGCTTCGGACTCGATAAAGGGCGAACGTAGATACCGGAGATGAACAGTGAGCGGTTCTCCAAACTAATTCGGACAATGACCTGCTCGAGGTGGTCACAGTTTTCCAACGAAACCAAGGAGAAAGGGTGCACAAATTTGACTGCTATGAGTGTACCACCTCCCTTGGACTACTGACTGGAAGATTCATTGCGGTCACAGCGGAATATTTAGTAGTCCATCAAAAGTTCATATGATAGCCTCCTGTGTGGAAAATTGGCGTGTTTTATCATGGACAACAAGACGCTTGCGGGAGACCAATACTACACAGTTCGTGATGATCAGGAAGTGGACGATGCCGATAAGTCATTTTTTACCGAAACATTTGGTGACAAGGCCATGGTTTATTGATGATGTTGATGGTAATGGTCACAGCCACGCTGGAGAATGTTTCCCACATCATTTTTTGAGAGGGTATTGTTTACACTGTATTTTTATCGCTGTCAGTTTTTCGAAAGTTGAAAAAAATGACGTCACCCGAAAAGCAACGTCGCGAATTGATTTCGCGCAAGCACCTGGAAAATCTTCAACTCTCTCATCGGGACATCGGAAAACAACTCGGAATCGTGCAGTCAACGGTGAGTCGTGTGATTAAACGTTACTAAAAAACTCTGAGCATCGAACGGAAGGAGAAATGCGGTCAGAATAAATGTTCTATTAGTGATCAGGATCACAAGCGTGTCGTGAAAGTGTTTAAGCGAAATCCCAATGCTTGGGTCAGCGATGTGGCCAAAAAGTTGAATCTGTCCAAGTCTTTCATTCAGAGAGCCAAAGACCGAGAGACGAAGCCAACGGGTCACCGAAGGACATGAACCCCTCCAACGCACCGGAACTAAGGCCCAACGAAAAATACTGGGCTATTATGAAGCAGGCACTACGGAAGCATGCCAAAGAGTTTAAATCTGAGGAAGACATGAAGAAAAAGTGGGTTTCCGTACAGAAGAAGCTGCAGCCAGATGCTTTACAGAACCTAATGAGTGGAGTTAAGCGTAAGGTGCAAGCGTACGGTTATGGTATTGAAGTTGAATGGAATTAATATGCCAAAAGCTTACTAATGGGTTACATTTTATTGTCTGAAAGATTGAAAAGGATCGGTCAACTATCGTATGCGTGATAATGTTTGCACCATCGTACAAATAAGGTTCCCGTTTCACCTGTGCATACAATGCCTTGGTTTTCTTTGCATGCACGTAACCTATAGCTCATACCGTAGTAGGCTGTATATAAAAGAAAATGATTTACTTAGTTTGACAGTTGCACCATGGCAGCGTATTCGTGATTTGTCCCACGCGCAAATGTTGCAAAAAGACATTTCAATCGCCGTGGGAGTGGAAAAAAGGAAGATTCGGGTGAATCCAGTGCGTTCAATAAGGAAACTGGCAAAGGAACACGGGATCAGTGACTTTACGGCACGGAAGATCGCAAAGGAAGATTGCGAGGCGAAGTCGAGGGCACGGAAAAAAAACTCACATGATTACCAACCGCATCCGGGAGCTACGAGTCGAACGATGCAAGAAAATATCTTGAACTTCCTTAAGCGAAAAAATCCGGTAATCCTGTTCACCGACGAGAGCATGTTTACCGTCGATCCCGTATCAAATTCCAGAACCGACCGGTATATTAGTTCTCTTCCGGTAAAAGACGTGTATCTGACCAAGCATCCTGCTAGTGTTATGGTGTTTGGATTGGTGGCTTCCGATGGCAAAAAAATGGACCCGATGTTCATTCCAGAAGGCAAAAAGATCAACACGGAGGTCTACATCGGGATTTTAAGTAAGTATGTTCTTGCGTGGATCAAAGAACAGTACGGTCCGAAGCCAAATATTGTATTTTGACTTCGTGCCACACCTCGAACCGCACTCAGAAGTGATTGCAGGAACATCTTCCGTTCTGGGCGAAGGATATGTGGCCGCCATTCAGCCCCGATATTAATCCGCTGGATTACTCAATATGGCGCGTCATGAAGGCCAAGGCCTGTTCTAAATGCCACACGAGTACAGCAAGCCTCAGACAAACATTGACCCGTACCTGGAGAGAAATGGATCCAGACTACATTATTAGAATCTGCGTGCATTCCGGAAGCGTGTGGAGGCCGTATTTGAAGCAAGTGGAAACTCGATCGATGATTAACATAGTTTAAGACTCCTTGAATAAATAAAAAAAAAAAAAAAACTCAAAAACGGAATTTTTGAGAATTTTTTCAATTTTGACATTGCTCAATGGTGCAACGGTATGTAATTTTCTACAGCGTTTTTACCGTGATGCAACTTGATGTGGGACACCCTTTATATTACATGATATCAACTATACTCTGAACGTAGTATCATGTAATGAGTCAGGGTAGCCATGTAAGAATGTATGAGGAAGCTAATACTGTCTCCCGAAACCTTTTTTTTATTATTATTATTATAGTCACTTTAACACTCTTGGGCTTGGGTCATTCGTGACTAGTCTGGGAGTGAGATTTGAACTCGTGACTTTGGCGTGAGAGGTGTGGATGTTAACCACTACGCCGAAACTTTTATTTTACTTAACTTATGAATTGATTACACGCTTAAATAATAATGACACGAATGGTTTTGGTCACCTTTCGCAGCGGGAGAGGGTATTTCTGTTGCGTCTTTTCATAAATATATGGGAATTCGGGAAGTGAACCATATTGTTAATTTATAATATTTGGTTACTGGGTAGTCAAAATCACATAGTAAAATGTGATTGTCTGGTACTGTACTTATTTAAACTTTAAATTAGAAAGAATTGACTGTTTGTTTGTTGTTCATCTTCCTAACATTGTATCCTATGTTTACCTTTTAATATTTATCGATGTGTTTAGTTAGTAAACGTGTTAAACTCAATCGTGTTGATATAACATCCATTGTCATTCCCTTAATTTCCAGAGGGAGGAGGTATTGCAGTATAAAAGTTGATCTCCTTTCCAGATCTTCGACCATTCCGAATGAGTAGCACCTGTTTACAGTAGACAATATAACCCTATCCCACTACTAGTTCCATGCATCTTGACTTGTTTGTTTGAACTATTTAGTCGTTTGACCCGTTCCTTTACCTTTATAGCTGTTTACCGGTAGCTCATTCACAAACAATACACAAGCACAATGCAAACACTGTAACTAATCTCTGTCTTTCTTCTTCCCTGTAACTGCTGAACCGAAAAACCCGCACCCACGTTTTGCCACAACACAGAAAGTGGTGAAGAAAATGTGGGGCAAAACAACCCGATGGAAAGCACAATACTAAAAAGTAAACTGTTTGTGAAGAATGAGAAGACGGCAGCGCGCCGAACGTCGACTCCGGAGGGGATGACCCTGCGGACGCGTGGCGGTGATGATGCCTCGGAACCGACGGTTGCCGGCGGCGGTGGTGGTGGCGGGGGTGACAAGAAGGACACCAAGATAGATATTCCCCTGCCACAGTATATGCACCCGGCGGGGGAGAAATTCGCCGACAAACGAGTTAAGGTGAGTGGGATCTTTTGCATCAGTGTAATTCTTAGGTTCCTCGGAAAATGTGGCACTTGCAGCAGGAATGGTAAATGGTGATAAATGAAAAGATGGTCGCGATGATGATGATGATGATGATGATGTTGATGGTAATGGTCACAGCCACTGTGGAGAATGTTTCCCACATCATTTCCGCATTCGTTTATAATAATATTCAGCGTGACACGCCCAGATGCACGGAGCAGAGCATCCAAGGGATTTGTCATCGCTCTGTCGCAAGAACAAAACTGACGTTCACTTTTAAATTGTATTTGTTCAAACACTCGAAGCGTCCAAGAGAATGCAATGCACAACATAAATTTTCACTGCTGAAGGAAGTTGGAGATCTAAATTAAAGCATACATTATAAGAGAAAACCCATAACTCACTGTTGTTCAAACAAAAAATTTTAATTTTTCTCAACCAAAATTTGCAACTAATTTTATTCGAGACGAAATGCGAGAAAAACTTTTTTCTTCAAATACACAGCAAGCCACGTTTTCTAGGACAGAGCGAAAGCGTTGCTCCGGAAAATTAGATCAGCAAGCTCTGACTTCATCAAAGTCAAACATGATGTCTCCATAGCGCGAAGCAAATGAGTACAGGGGAGGTACAGTGAAAGGTACCAAGCGTACCTCTATCTTGCACTTTGTAGAACCGGCATCGCTGGGAGATTTTTGGGTAAACAAATGGTTTTTCATTTCTTGGTGGTCGTTTTTCTGAAGGTGATGAAATAATTTACGAGAAATTTATTTAAATCTTTTCCCAACAAGTCATTTTTCGGATACGCCAAACTGTATCAGACAGGCATAAGAAAGTTTAGAAGGGCTGGTAGTGGGAAGGGAGCTAGCCGCTTCGGGTATCTGAAACCGGGCGGAAAATAAACGATGATAAATTGCGGTTGATGTTTGTGGGTTTTGAGCTTCGAGTTGTACACATAGCCTACGACAATCAACAGAGCGGGAATGGAAGGAATTTTGAGGAGGCTGATTGTGGAGGTTTACGGCTAGCTTAGTTCTGGCAAAACCGCAGACTGATCCCGGTGCTTAGCTTGCCATTCAAAAACAGAGGAGATGTTTGGATTCCAGATGAGGAAGCAGAGAGATTCGAGAAATTCATGCCAGGAAAACCACTAGAAATTCGAGCATCCACATGGTTTGGTGTGTTAAACTATGCCGGGTGCTACAATTTTGTTGGTTTTTTAACCTCTTTGTAGATATTTATATTAATAAATCTGTCCACTCCTGGAAAAGAGTCAACAAATGTGTCCATTATAGGGGTAGTGGTTGGTATCTAGTTTCTATGGAGAATTTAGGTTGGATCAGTTTATGGTTGCTTTGATTGAATAATCTACTGATATGTCAGCCACACCATGGAAAGGATTATCTTTTATTACCGGGATGATTTTTGATGTAAAATTACCATGCAACAGGTTCATCGTCGAATTCAAAAACTTCGCTATAAGAGATCAAGACCAACCCGTTCAGTAGTATTGAGTGTCTTTGATACATTGCATACAAACTTCAAACGCATGTTTCACTGAATTTTTATAGCAATAAAATCAAGACCAATAAACATAGACCGACTTTGCCTGTTCAGAGGAAATTTTTCCATATAGTTCAATTTTTAACGATCCCTTTCGACAACAAATTATATTTCGCGATACCACCTCTGGCTCAATTGATCGCCAGCAGTCCCCTGTCTGTGCTATGCTGATGACAATACCGAAGGTCACATTTTTATGGACACTTAAAAGCTTACGTTCCTTTCGAAAAATTCCCACTTGCTTGTGGCTTCCAATGCACGACCCGGAAAGAATCTCCATTCGCCTTACTGGAGTGCGGTGCTCGGTATCATCGCCCACGACTCCGAGAGCTTTTACAGCTTCCGTTTTTCACACGCTCTTAACTTTGCGACTGAAATAACCAACCACGAGCCATGCTTGTGGGTATTTGGGTCAAAGGGGAAGCATCATCACAGATTCGTTATTTTTTGCCCCGCTACTACCATTTTTACCGTCATTACTGACAAATCAATGAGCTTGGCAACGGACGCGGAGGATAACTTCAGAAAATATTTACCATTCCACCGGCTACCCAAAAACTGTTTTACTGAACTCGCACCGGACTCCGCGAAAAATATGGATGCGCTGAGTTGGAATGAAAATTAAATCATCATACGGATGAATAATATAAAATATAATACAATTAAATTTGTTGGATTTTCCGGCGCCTAGAATTTTCTAATGGTTAATCCTGGAGAATCCATGGCTGAATATTTTAAAATATGAGTTGGTGGGTACGGCTGTGAATCCGGCTCTAAAGAGAAACTTAAATTTAGTTATAAAAGACAAATCCAAAAAAGGTCTTTGTTGAGAGGTCAACTGTGGAGGATAAAACAATCTGATTCCGGCTTAGTAGTAAATTTCCTTGATTTATACACCCCAACGTTTCAGCACTTGTTGTTGCCTTCCTCAGAGGAAACTGATAAAAGGGAGTTTATTATAATACTGTCAATTCAGAATAACATTATGTCGTCCTAAATCAGAGAAATTTATAGTTGAAATCCAAGAGAATCTCTGTAATTTGAAATAAAACTTTAACTATAGTTCCAAAAAAGTTCTAAGGAGTATTCGAAAGGAATTATTTGGAATATTCTTAAAATTTCCCAGGAGAATTCAAATTGAATTATTAGCAGAGCTTCAAAGCAATCGATCACATAGTAGATATATTTTGTAATGACGGAAAGTATTTAAGACAATAAGGCTGCGAATTTCTGAAGGTTTTTTAGAATTTGCATTTAAGGAAACCTCGTCTCTGTCGTGATTTCCGCCATTGTTAATCCCAAGGCAACTTAAAAGGTTATCAAAATCGGATTCTTTCTATTGGACTGGCGAAGAGGAGAAGGAGCTCCATTTTCTCAAGGACGAAGCTCTGACTGAAGTTTTGAAACTGGGTTTTTTCTCGAGTGACGATGAAACTGATCTTTTTGTACTTGGTTGGACTTGGGGCAGTATTAGTTAGTCTAATACGATCAAGACGGCATGCCTAGAATTATTTCATGCGCTTCAAAAGCTTTGACAGACTCGGAGAAGAAGTACCGGCAGTCCCAAAAGGCCATTGTGTGGGGAGTGGAGAGGTTTTCTTTTTATTTAACGAGTAAATCCTTTACCATTTGGATCTATTCCGAAGCGAATGAATTCATCTTTGGCGAGGGAAGAAAGGCTAGCAAACGTGCTATGTCTAGGCCTGAAGCATGGTCGTTGAGGCTTCAACCTTTCGATTTTACAACGAAGCGAGTTCTGGGCCATTTAAATGTGGTGGATGCTCTATATAGGCTGATCGACAAGGCACAAATAGATGTGCCCTTCGATGAGAGTGACAAGAAATACGTACTTTATGCTCTCGACGCAGGTTTGATGGATATCTCTTGGAGCGACATTGATATAGCTTCGGCTCTTTGGGAGTCAAAGTCTGACAATGTACTGGATCGTCACAACGGTAATGAACATGAAATTCTATCGACATTTGTGAGCAAGGGCTACGCGGACAACCGTAGTGGAGCTAAACCTTCCGACATCAAGGCCGGTGACAGGGTTGTAGTTGCGGTCGCAAAATCAAACAAAACTTATCCATTGTTTTCGAAGGAGAGGTACACTGTTTTGACTCGTGAAGGTGCCAAAGTCGTCGTTCAGAGCAGTCGGGGTTTACAGTATGCTAGAAACGTGCAGGACGTCAAACGAGCAATGGACTTCGAGGTAGCCGATGCAGATGCAAACGACAACTCTATTCCAAATCCGGATGCTGACGTGGGAGGTATGGGAGATGCAGAGTTGCACGAGATGTGGGTAAGTGCGGGTCCTCTGCGAGATGAGGTGTTTTCTGCTAAATATATGAGTCAACAAATGTCTGTGAGAACGACTGTCTCGCGTTGCTTTCCTCGGAAATTCAGTTAGCTTTAGCTAAGAAAGAGCAAATGGCTTCTGTCTTCTTGGATATTAAGGGGGCTTTTGATTCAGTATCCGTTGAAGTTCGTTCAGAGAAACTCCACGCTTGTGGATTGTCTCCATTAATGAATGATTTTTTGTACAATTTGCTGTCAGAAAAACATATGAGCTTTTCTCATGGAAACTCTACAGCTTTTCGATTTAGCTACATGGGTCTCCCCCAAGGCTCATGTTTAAGCCCCCTTTTGTACAATTTCTACGTTAGAGAAATTGACAATTGTCTTAGTGACAATTGCACGTTGAGACAACTTGCAGATGATGGCGTAGTGTCTATCACAGGGCCAAAAGAGGTTGACCTGCAAGGACCCTTACAGGATACCTTGGACAATTTGAGAAAACTGAGTTGGTCGTTTTTTCTAGGAAGCATAGCCCAGCACAACCGAAGCTTCAACTTTTGGGTAAACCGATCACTCATTCCATGTCTTTTAAATATCTCGGGGTCTGGTTCGATTCCAAATGCACCTGGAGATCTCACATTGAGTATCTGAGACGAAAATGCCAACTAAGGATCAATTGCCTTCGATCAATTACCGGAACGTGGTGGGGAGCCCATCCACAAGATCTTCTGACATTGTACCGGACAACGATTTGAGAGAATTTCTCTTGAAAATACGAGAGCTGCTTAGTACTTTATCCGTGCGCTCTTTCATCATCACCTTCGCGTGGGTCCCTTCGCATTGCTCAATTTTGGGCAATGAGTAGGCGGATTCACTTGCGAAGGTGGGCGCTATGGAAGGCGACATTTATGATCGACAAATCGCCTATAGTGAATTTTTCTCTAATTATCGTCAGCAGTCGCTCGTTAGCTGGCAACATCAATGGAGTGAAGGGAGCTTGGGACGATGGTTACATTCAATTATCCCTAAGGTGTCGAAGTTTGCATGGTTCAAAGGGTTGGACTTGAGTCGAGACTTCATACGCGTGATGTCTCGTCTCATGTCCAATCACTATTGTCTAAGCGCTCACTTGTTCC